ACAGGTCCCTGAATAAAGTCACTAAACTCCTCGTCGTCAAGAAAGGCGTTAGTTTGGGAGACAGACACGGTAGAATGAGATGGTTTAGGATGATCTGTGAAATGGAATGAACACAGACATGTACACACACACAAGATGAAAACTTCTGGAGAACAACCAGCTTAAAAAATAAAATAAAAGAGAAGTGTCGGTTTCTAGGGGCTCTGCTGAAGAGGTACCATATTTTTCGGAGTATAAGACGCACCAGAGTATAAGATACACCAAGATTTTGAAGAGGTAAATTTAAAAAAAAAATTTTTTTTGCACTCTGCAGGCCTCTCAAACTCTCTGCATGCCCCATTTTTCACAAAAAAATGCTGCATGCAGAAGGTTTCAGGGGCCTGCAGAGTGCAAAAAAAATATTATTTTTTAATTTACCTCTTCAAAATCTTGGTGTATCTTATACTCCGGTGCGTCTTATACTCCGAAAAATATGGTGCCTCTTCAGCAGAGCCCCTAGAAACCGACACTTCTCTTTTATTTTATTTTATTTTATTTTTTAAGCTGGTTGTTCTCCAGAAGTTTCCATCTTGTGTGTATGTACATGTCTGTGTTCATTCCATTTCACAGATCATCCTAAACCATCTCATTCTACCGTGTCTGTCTCCCAAACTGCCGCCTTTCTTGACGACGAGGAGTTTAGTGACTTTATTCAGGGACCTGTTGAAACCCCGCCATTCGTGCCTCCAACCTCCTCCCAGTCTTTTCAGTCTTACCATCCTGTTTCTCAAGCTGGGCAGCGGCTTTCAGAGAAGGCTGCGGCCCACCCTCTCCCTCCAGGCCAGTTTCCTGTCACCTCCGTCCTCCAGGGTACCGTCGGACCGGTACCCTATTTCTCTCCTCCTCCAGCTTCACAAAACACTCAGAAAACAGGTAACACATCGTGTCTTTCGGGGAATAGAATATACAGGTAGGCCTCGACTTACAACCCATTCGTTTGGTGACCAATTGAAATTAACAACACTGGGAAAAAAATGTGACATGACCAGTTGTCACACTTAACAACTGTGTCAGCCTCCCCGTGGTCACGTGATCAAAATCTGGATGCCTGGCAACTGGTTTGTATTGATGACAGTTGCTGTGTTCCGGGGGAGATGTGATGTGATCCCCTTTTGTGAACTTCCAGTCTGTTTGCCATAAGCAAAATCAATGGGAGTGGGGGTGGGTGGATTTGATCGATTGTGTGATTCACTTAACAACAGTAGTGATTCACTTAACAATCAACAAGGAAAAAAATGATCATAAAATCAAGTGCAACTAATTTAACCACCTTACTTAGTAGTGGAAATTCTTTGACTCTATAGCTTTTATTGTTTTATCAGTGTGCAAAATAGAAAGAAATTCTTGCCCCAATTGTGGTCGTAAGTTAAAAACTAACTTGCAAAAATGTAGGTGCCTCTTGATGTAGCCCTTAATGCAGGAGCAATGAATATATTTTCTCCCACTGAAAATATATCCTGAATTTCAGGAGAGAAATAGCACCCCTAATGCAGTGTTTCTCAACCTTGGCAACTTGAAGATGTCCGGACTTCAACTCCCAGAATTCCCCAGCCAGCATT